TTGGCTTATGTTACAGTATTGTCTAATCAATTATTCCACGTTGTAAATGAAAGTGGTTTTGTTTTCTATTTTCATGAATTGTAACAGTTTGTAGAGTTTTGAACTATATTTTGAATTTGCTTATAAGCATATTTTTTATTGCACATATGCAATAAAAAGACATTAAAAAATACACTTTGACTTTTCGGAGTCGAGAAAAAATTTGGTGTTTACAGGAGCTTTTTCTTCGAACAGCTGATTCAGACCTGGAAAATCTGAAATTGACACTTTCAGAAAAGTCAGCTCTGATTCCGTCACCAGAATCAGAGATGATCAGGATTTTCAGCTCTGAATCCGGACGTGCATTTTAATAAGATCTGAATCAGAGTTGAAAAAACTGGAAAGCTGATTCGGCTATTCAGACCTAGCTGATTGTCGACTAGTGATGGTATCTTCATGAAAGAAAAAGAGGCCCAGAGAATCCTGATTACACTGAAAGAGATGATTAACCTCTGAAAAGTTCTAGATTCTAAATTATTTTGAGCGTAAGAGAGTAATACAAAGAACTTAGTTTTATTTTAGATTATTTTGTTTGTCAGAATATCATGGATGCCTTACTGGTATGTCTATGACATTTATATATTTCTCCTTGTGAACAGTGTAAAGTCAAAACTACTACTGACTTTGTGCACTGTCTTATGAATAACTTTCAACAGTAATTATAATTTTTATAGTCCAGCTGAGATTTCAACCTACCTTCTTTAAATTCATTTTGAATGAACTTAAATAAATTTCTTAGTCTACGGGAGAAGCAAGCAGGAAGAATATGAGACCATCAATAATGCAACTTTCCTTACTTGCCTTATTATTCTTCCGTGATCTGTTCTCGGAGATAAATGCCGAGTAAAACAGATTGCAATTTGCTCTAACAGAGATCACGCTACACTGCTTTAAAAAGTATACATATAATATGGAATACTTTTAAAAATGTCCGTGAAAAAACCCTTGAGATTCGATCATCATATCGCCGATAGGTAAAATTTTTAAAGAGAACTAGAGTCAATGAAAACCACATTTTTGGATAGAGGATAGTCGATTGCATATGTATCCACCAGAATTGGCTCGGGGTACTGTAAGTCGGGAAGCAAAAAGTTTTTTAGAAAGTTTTCAAGAGAAAGAAACAAAAAGAAGCAAACATATATAGCGGCGACTCGAGCAGGAATTCAACCCACGCCTTATTTAGAGTCGCAAAAGAGTCGTTTTTCGCCAAAGCATAAAGAATAAAAACAGGTTTAGTATGACAAAGTTTAACATAAGCATACAGTATAATGCAAAATATCCGATGCAGAAATAGAGAAAGCTAATAGAGGACAGGTAGAACAGCAAAAGAAATTGGAACAGGCCATTAATAAAGCAAATGAGCGTTTCAGCGAATTATACAATCAAGTACATGATTGGTATAAACTTATTGCCGAAACAAAGCAATCGGCTGCTCAAGAAAAGGCAGAGTACGAGAAAGATATGCAACAGAAGACTTTATCGTACGATGCAAGAACAAAATTAAACTTACAGTGGCAAGACAAAGAGAAACAGTGGAGAAAAGAAATTGATTTTTATAAACAACAAATTTTAACAGTTGAACAAGACATGAAAAAGATTGAATCAACAAGTACTGAAACAGAGAATTTACTTCGTACAGTTATTAAAAATCTGAAAACATCTCAA